TATATATATATAAAATTTATTTATATTAAATTATAAAAAAAATCCGAAGTGTTCCCCCCAAATCGACTGAAACATGGAATTGCTTCTTTTTCCTCATCAAATCGAAAAAGACTCTTAAACTAATCTGACAACATTGCTATCACCATGCCCCACCTTTGTGGGATTGGACACCTAACAATTCCTCCATATGGACCACTCTCCTTTTAGAAATTTCTCCGGATCCACTTGTCTCCCAAAAGGACGATGGGGATCATATAGAGAGCGCAGCAGAAGACTGAGAAAGTGAGAGAAGATAAATCATGAGAAAAGTATGTCTTTTAACTTAATGAAAGAGACAACATTTCCAAAATGATAAGACTATACACTTAATTTTAGATGCAAAACAAATCCTACAATTTTGAAAAACTCTAAACTTTATCCATATGTGCTTTCTCCTTTTATGGATTCCATATCCCAAAAGCTGTAAGATATGTCCTACCTGTCTGGCTTAATTATTGTGGATTTGTGGGTCAATTCAATATGGTTGCTTGAGGGGGGTCAAGGCTTTAATTCTATGCCTTCAATTTTGATTTAGTGTTAGATATATATCAGTTTGCCTAAGTGAGATTAACGATTCAAATCTTTTCATTTTGCCCCGTCCTTACGAGTTAATTAAGCCCCCCTCCTTTTTCTTTTTTTTCTTAAATAATGGTAGAAATGGAGTTCGGGACGTTATCTTGAGGCGTCAACCCCCCAACCACCGATCCGAAATCGCATTTGAGCTCATCTAGCATTTCCTTTTTTGGTATTTTCTTTTTTTGTCCTTCAAGCTTTGGCACAGTGGTAGACAAATCAATTAGGGAAGGGAAGGGTTCAAACTCTTAAAATTTGTCCCAAATGGCACAATCAAACTGCCCTAGCCTGTTTTTATCTCTTAAGCTTCAGCTTAGCTGCAAACCTCAATTTTGATAATGCAGGTCAAAGGTTTGAACCTTTTTGAGTTTGCCCCAAAAGCCCATACAACCTAGCCTAACCTTTTCCTAAGTAAAATTTCTTTGTTTATCATTTAGGTTTTGGCTCAGTGGTAGATGGATCAATTTGGGTGGGGAGTTTCAAAGTTGGATTTACTATCTAAGTTGGAGGATGTTCACTTTCAAAAAAAAAAGAAAAGTGCCACGATGTTTCAAGAATATCTGAAAGAGTTAAACATATAAGAGGTTGGATGATGTTCATTTATAACAACAACAACAAAGGAAAAAAAAATAAAATAAAAGAGGTTTGATGATGTTTCAACAATATCTGATGAAAGTTAAGCATATAAGAGGAATTTGGCTCCACCAAAGGAAAGAAGCATGTAAATTAATTTTATGGGAGTTCCTTGGGATGGAGGGTTGCTTAGAGTTCGTAGTGGTAGAATTATACTAAAATATACTCAGCATGTGGTTGTTATAACGGCAAATGAAGCTGAATTGAGATTAAATTTATGTATCATCATTGTCAAAGTTTTTTTTCAATTAATTGGGGTTGGCTACACAAATCTCGGCCTGCCACCAAATTATTTATATTTAACTTAATTTGAATTGAGATCAAATCTATGTAATTTGAATAGTGTTATTGGAAAGGAAAAAGTTTATATAAGGATGCTACCTTATAATGTAGAACTACGGATGCCCCTCAAAAATCTATCGAAAAAAGGTAGTTTTAATGTTGAAAAACCCTTTGATTGATCATCTCGACATCAAGACGTATGACTATGACAAATAAAAATATTTTAAGTATCAGAAATAGTGCATTTTACAACATATTATCTACACCGTCTATATTCAAGATTTTCATATGTTTATAGATCTACTTGATTGTAATCATTTTTGAAATTTAGAATTTTATAATTAGATATAAAAATAAATTTTGAGATAATCTTAAGAACATTTTATATCAAAATTATATACCATGACAAAATTTGAAGGTGCACCTTACCTTTGCACCTACGGATGCATCCATATACAAACTGCACCTTATTGGAAAAGGTGACACTTTTTTTGGGTTGTTTAGTGGGGATGGGATCCCTTATCTGTGTTAGAAGTAAAACACAAGACATCACGTTATGGTGCTCTCACCTAGCCTTGAGCCCATTCCTTAGAAGATCGCACTTATAGCAATAAAGTGGTGTTCAGGGGAACAAAAGGTTACATGAAACCTAAGATCGATTATCTCTGAAAATAAGGATTTCAAGTTTTAAAAATGTGACGTTTATACAGGTGCGTAATCAAGAAGCGGATGCATTGAGTAAAAGTGGTGTGGAAAAGGATTCATTAATTGTACTTGGCTGTATGGGGGAGAATTGTGGCTACCAAGTTTTAGCGGTTTGGTGGTTTTTTAATTTAATTAGTAGTCGTATAAATGAAAAAAATTGTCAATTTTTTTAGATCCCAAAACAATTAAATTGACATTTTTTTTTTTCTTTTTCCTTTGCGGTTGATAAGTTGATAAATAGACACCGGAAAATTGATTGTTATGAATATTTAAAAGTCTTAAAGACATGGAAGGAAAAACCTTATAGACCTAATACTAAGTAAAGTGCCCCTCAAAAGTCCGAGAGTGGAGAGTGTTTGGGCCTTGGAAAACCCTTTTATTTATTATCTAGGCCCCGAGATGTAGATATGAGGAAAAAGAAGTTTACGTCTTAAAGATAGTACATCTTGTAGCATTTATCTAAATTGTTTATTTTTAAAATGTTAATTTCATAACTAGAGATGGAAATTGAATTTGAAACTATCATAAGATTTCTCACACTAGAATTACATACCAAGATAAAATTTAGAGGTGTGCTTTACTTCCCTAGGGTAAAGAGGATGCCTCATATAGACTTCAATCGACATAGGAAGTAGGTAGGGGTGGCAGCAGGCTAGGTCAGGTCCAATCGGACCAGACCTAGACCCGGACCTGAAAAATATTACCAAACCTAGACCTAGATCTAGACCCGGACCTGAAAAATATTACCAAACCTAGACCTAGATCTAGACCCGGACCCTAATAGTATTCAGGTCCAAGATTTAGATATTGAGCAAACCTGTCGGGTATGTTAGGATTTAATAACCCCTTCGATGCAGAAACAAGAATCCCAAAGTTGGATCCTACAAAGATCATGTACTTATCCAGCTAAAAACAAAATGGGCAAGAGCACATAATAAGAGAAATAAAGCATAAAACACACACACCACAAGAGCATAAAGATTTACATGGTTCACCCTAGGAGGGCTACATCCACGGGCACGATAAACTAAAATCCACTTTTCCAATGAAAGTTACATTACATATTTTGGGACATAGAGTTACCTCTATAACCCTCGATAAAACCAAGTCGAGTAAACAATTTTAGACCCAATATCCTGATCGGGGCCATTGTCCGCATCTCATCTCTATTCCACAGTTAAACCATTGGCCAGGAAAAGATCATCTCTATTCCACAACCCAGTTGAGTAAATCTTTTTAGACCCAATGTCCTGATCGGAACCATTGTCCGCCTCTCATCTCTATTCAATAGTTAAACCATTGTCCAGGAAGAAACCATCTCAAGTAAACCTTTTTAGACCCAGTGTCCTGATCGGAACCATTGTCCGCCTCTCATATCTATTCGATAGTTAAACCATTGTCCATTAAGAAAGCATCTATATTCTACAGCTAAATCACTGTTAAACCACTCTATTCCATAGATAAACCTCTTAAACCACGGTTCAAGAGGAGAACCTTGAGAGCAACCAAAACTAACTCTCTCTAAATAAAGAAACCATCCAAAATCTTATTATCTCTCCAATAGAATCCAACCTTTTTAGAGAAACCACCCAAAATCTTCTCTCTCTAAAAGAAACCAACCTTTCAATTTACAATAAGCACATCCCAACTTCCTAATCTTTTTAGAATTATATTTTCTTTTAGGAAACTTATCAATCTCAATCCCACATAATATGGGATTTTTTTATGTCAACGACTTTGGATAATCATCAAATCCAATTATTTATGTGGGCAATTTTGGATAATCATCAAATCCAACCGGTAGAGGTGGCAATGGAACCGAACCCGATCCATACCCGCCGGGTATACCTGACACGGGTCTGGGTATGGGTCCAAATTTTGGATCTGTGGGTAGGGTCCGGGTCCAATAAAAGATACCCGGATATTTCGGGGTCCAGGTACGGGTCCTGCTATACCCGACCCGATTGGCACCCAAACCTAAATTTTTAGTTTATGCAAAGGCCAAAGCCCCTACCCTAAAATTATTTCAATACTTTTCCCCAAACGGCCAAACTCCATCGTCTTCCTCCCTCTCTTCAGTTCTCCCTCTCTCAGTTTCTTGAAGACATAGCTCTCTCTCTCTAGATTTCAAATGTCTCTCTCTCTCTCTCACTCTCTCTAATCGCCTACCCCTAAAAAATCAGCTCTTTGTTGTTCACCATTGCAAAATACAAAAAAAGAAGCTCATAGTGAGGGTGGCAATAGACTCAAACTAGACCCAAGACCCAACGAGTACGGGTATGGGTCCAACTTTTGGAGCCGAATAAATTGGGATCTGGGTCTGGGTCCTGGTCCGGGTCCAGCTGGACCCGACCTATACCCAAACCATCGTCACCCCTATCGTCGGGTCCAATTTTTGGATTCATACCCGGACTCCAGGTCTATCCCTCGGGTCGGAGTTCGGTCCGGGACCATTACCACCCCAAAAGGAAGCCAAGCATTTATGGGGAGACTTCCATCACCGGATTCCATATCAGGGGCATTATAATAATTTAAAAGAAAACAAAATAAAACTATATCCATTTATAAATGATAATACTTACAGAAAGCGGTTTTCTAAAACCACTTTATACCCGATTTTGGCGAGATTAATTCATCTCGAGCGGAACCGGCGCTTTTCCATGAAAGCGGTTTTGCAACGCCAGTAAAAAGACGGCGACTAATTCTTTTATCCCAAAAACCGCTTTTCACGAAGCCGCCGATGTGTCCTGAGCAAACGGGAGGAATCTTTTCCCTGTGGTTTTCCGTCCATTGTCCGGCGACGAAAACCGCTCACATGAAGGGCAAACCGTAAGAGAAGCCGCCGGAAAAACTAGGTGTAGAGGTTTCTCAACAGAAAACCGCTTTAGGGCTCTGAGTTCCTGTAACTCCATGTGTAAACGCCGGTTTTCCTCCGTTAGGGTTTCACAACAACGCTTCAAATATTCGCAGTCAACCTCCGTTTGCTTAAGCTTCGTTCTGGAAGGGCATTTAAGGAAAAAATGAGAATATTGGATGGAAAACTGAGAAAGGGTGACGGAAACCGGAGTAAACGTGACGGAAAGAGCTTACCTGGCACGGCGGTTTTGGAACCACACTTCCACTTGGCGTGGGCGGAGTTTAAGGCGTTTGGCCAATGCGAGCTTTTGTTTCTGAGAAATTAATTATTTTTGAAAAATGAAAAAGTATAAGAATGCATTCACACGTTGACAGTGCAAGAAATGAAAATGACAATAAAAAATTTACTATTTCATGGCTGTTCCATATGAATGAATGGTAAAAGATGATGATGACCCCTACCTGTTCCATTTGAGTGGACAGTGACGACCTCAATCATAATCTCATGCCCTAAATATTATTTTATTTCATCAATTTTGGGAGTCCAATCCTCTCTCAAGGTCACATCTAAAAAAAATAAAAATTATTTTTGATAAAATAAAATGGCTAAAATACCTTCAAAATTTTAAAGGTATTTTAGTTATTTTATTTTTTAAAAAATATTTTTTAATATTTTTTTTAAGTACACCCCATTGAGATGATGACATACACCAAATTTATGTACATATGATTTGTAAAAAATTAATTAAAATTAAAATTAAAATATTATGAGACATCAAATCGAGATCAAAAAGTCATGGTTCACTCATGATATTATGGTTGAAGCTATCCAACCATAATTCACATTGGACAGTTAAGAGACGAGGGATGTAGATAAAATATATGAATAGGTATGTATAGTAAGTTTTACCTTACTGAAATACATATATTGAACCATTTAGCAATCCATCATTTAGTTTCAAAATACCTATAAAAATACATAATCATGAGGTGAAATAGTGGCAATTGGATAGGATGTTGAATAATTCGCCTCTTATGAGTATTTTGATAAAATTTTCAAATTATAAAGTAAATTTATATTTCCTAAAGACTTGAGTTAAACAAGTTATCACCGTGCATCAACGGGTTGAATGGTGAAGGCCAAGGTCATCCAAACATTAAATTATTTCGTTCTATATTATCCCAAAAATAAAATGTACCTATGTAATATGTATCATTCTATATTTTTCCAAAAAATAAAATATGCCTGTGTATTGTGAACCATTTAAGCATCGCATTACCATGGTTTAATGCTTCTATTTTTTTCCTATTTTCTCTAGTTTTGGAACCTCCATCAAGGTACCCATCACATGGACATCATAAGGGTTCACGTATTGATCAAGGCGCACTTTTCAATTATCCAATTTATCAAAACCGAAGTGATCAATAGGAAAAACTACTTATTTGAGATATCAATATTTTGGTATACAAATATCTCAATTTAAAAACTTATTACTATTTGGAATACTCTATCTTGCAAGTGACTGTGTAAGATATTCAAAAACACCTGACGTGACTTATTTTGTGGGATATTGGCATTAAAAAATAACAATACCTGACTAGGTGTTTATATTTTAGTACGAGATAATTGGGTTTTGAAGCACTAATATCTTGCGAGAGTATAAGACCTTTGAGATATTAGTTTTCAATAATATCAATATCACGTGGGGTAACTTAGTGAGATATTCATTTTGAAAACACCAATAAAAAAAATCGTTTTTTTAAAAATATTGATGTTCAAAAATACTAATATCTCAAAAAGTATTTAGAGATACTTAGAAAAAAAAAAAAGGTAATGTCACATGTATCCTAAAGGTACTTTATTTTGGTGGAGCAAAAATCCTGACCCACCGACAATGTCCTTGAGGGCTTTGGAAGCTTAGGACAGATCAAAAAAAGATAGGGAAAGGTTAAATAGTCCATCTTTCAAGGTGTTTGATAAATTGTACTTCCATCAAATAATTGTAACTCCTTACTTTCTACTTTTCACCGACCCTTTAATGAATAGGTGGTGATGAAACACGTGGTCATGATTGTACACATCTCATCTTATTATATTATTTCGAATCGGAAAAGATTATATAAGCCAAAGACATACTATAAATGAAACCCACTTCGACAAGCTGGGGTCCGTTGGAGCTCAAAATATTCACACGTATAAATCTCATGTGGGTGATCAAAATCCAATAACCAATTTTAATTTAATACACAAGAAAGTAAAAACATAACCCATTTAGTTTTGGTGGTCATAAGTTGTCCATTTGGTGATTAGTGGATCTATTCTTTGACAAAATCTGATCATTTTTACAATGTTTATTTTTAAAATTAAAGGTGATGCATGAGATTTCAACCCAAAAAGGTTTCTTAGTTATGTGTTTCAAAGGTCAACATATGCCGTGACAAAAATATAAAAAAGGTTGAAGACAAAAGATATCTAATTAATAAATCCCAATAGATTTATCTGAGTCTAAAAGTTTTAAAATTAGTCAGATTAAAACAAAATATATGAAATCTAACTTTAATAATAATAGGAGTAGAAACAAGGAATTAGTTAAGACTGATAGCCAAAGAGTACCTAAAAGAGATTATTTTCAATATCTTAAGTTGATAATCTATGATAATGAAGAGATTGAAAAAGATGTTGCACATAGAATTAGAGTTAGGTGGATGAAGCAGATATGTGCTTCTAGAGTTTTATGTGATTGTTACATACCAATAAAATAGAAGAAGATAGAATGTTGGACAATCAAGAAACAACACATTCATAGAATAAAATTATTGAGATGGAAGAGTGACATGACAAGAAAACGATATAACTCAGAATGAATATAACATAAAGAATTTAGGGGTAACTACAATGCCGATAAGATTAGGAAAATAGATATAGGTGATTTGGTCATGTACAATGTTAAGAAGGGTGATTTGGTCTAAGTCGAAGGCTCTAAAAGGGCAAGGCCCAAAATAGTATGAAGGTATGGCCCTTGATAGAGTTGAATAGCATAACAAGATTATGTTGCCGACTCAAAATAATTGAAATAAGGCTCAGTTGAGATAAGGCTCAAACGATAACGATGAATCATAAAGTTTATCCGTGACAACTTCTCGAGAGGCCTTTCTCTTGTGAAGTCAATACTGAAATGTCACATTACATTACGCGTCTCTCTCTCTCGGTAAGTGCTCAAGCTTATGGACCAAGTTCAGAAATTTATCCATCACAAAATTCACATCTAAAAGCCGAAGACCGAAAAAGGAAAGTACTTTGTACAAAGCCTTTTTTTTTTTTGTATAGTGGAGATTAACCGTAGATGAGATTAGACAGTGCTTTTTCCTGGACATGTACCAAACTTAAAATATCAGAGACAAACTCCACATCCCATTTACTCTTCTAAAAATATAAGTAAACAGTGAAAATCACAATAAAAGGATCTGCCAAACTAAATACAAAAATCAGATTCAAAATAAGAAAAAACATTGGGGAGTAAATGAATCCCTAAAGAGATAAAATAAGTGAAATAAATATGAAGTTTAGTGCAGTGTTTGGAAAATCGACTCCGCTAAGGTATGCCGCCGGATAAAGGTGCCTCCTTCCAAGAGGCGTAGGGTTTGATTATTGGGGCCCATAATTTATGTTTTTTTTTATTATTATTTATTTATTATTATAAGTCCATCTTTGAAAAAGTGATGTTTGCTAGCAAATTTCAACCCTGGCCACTCTAAAACATATGCGTCAGGAGAAACAGCGGAGCCATCTAAACATATTTGACATAAATTTGCCTTATTAACATAAATAAAATTTATAAACATGTTGTACAACCTATTCTTCCAAAACTCCGAGTTACTCGACCAAATCCGAGTGGCCTTGGCCGAGTATCAGAATACTGGCTTAGAAAGGATTACCGCCTTACCGGATTGAGAGTATTGTGTTCTTTGAAGCTTTCTTCAAGATAAGCAGATTGCTCCTTAGAAAGACGCAGCTTCTTTCTTGTCGATCCCTCTCCTCCTCCTGTGCTCTCTCCTTCATCACAAGAGACTCTATCTCCTTCTGTCTCGCTCATTGGAGCTCGTGAATAATCAGTTGAGCTCGTTGGCGGGGTCTGGTTCATGTCGATTTGCCCTGAAATAACATTTATTTCATCATAATTTTGGGGAGCAGAAAGAAAGTTGGGGATTTTAGGATGAGAGAAAAATGACATTTTGATAAGTAAGAATAAGATGTGATGTGTCAAGCAACTTTACGGGGAAGTTTTTGTCCGTGGGACGGAGGAGAGGGTTGTTGCTTTTGATGGTGTCGGCAAAAGTATTACGGATTGAATCCGTTCAAACTATGTTTTGATGGAATAGTGTAAGCTCAATGATCCAGATTGAATCCAAATCGATCTAACGATTATGAGAGAGAGAGTATTTTTACTTTGAAGCTAAAATGGAGAGGGTGGACGTGTACCTTAAGGGAAAAAAAAGAGTCCTAATTTTCATTTGAAATAGAGAGAGAGATGGCTTGAACTTGTGTGCTTTCATATTTGAAAGAGAGATGTTGATGGTTGAAAGAGTGATAGATAGTGGAGAAGCTGAACACATATTTTGCTTAATTTAGGAATTTATTAGCTTTCTTCCCATTTCCATTCCCATTTTTAACTTATTCATGATTAGGGCTAAACCCCCTCTCTCTCGTATGGTGGATAAAAATAGAATGCAGGATTAGATGTGGATCGCTGCCTCTCTTGTTTTAAGCATGAGGCCATAAGTGGGGAAGGTAGAGGAAATCTTTCTCTCTCTAGAAAGAGAAACTCTCCCTTTCTATAAATAGAGAGAGAATATCAGATAAGACACCGATGCATACTAAAACTACATTCCCTTAAGAAAATTACACATTAATTATATGAAGATCGACTTCAAAAAGGGCACATATCCCCTCATTCTTAAAACCAACTACTATTGGAAGATAACCCTATCATCAAAACCTATAAAATAAAATAATACCCAAAAATGTCAAAATATCAAGATCCACCCCATAGGAGAAGATCAATTTACAAAGGGCCACATGAAATATTGGTCTTCTCTATCAAAAAAAAATGGAAAGAAAGTCTATTATTACATTTCCAAAACACATTCACAAAACATAATGTAAAAAGTTCAACTCCTAAGAGGTGCATCTACTAGAATCCCCACACCAAACCATGCCCACTACAACAAAGAGAAGATAAGATTAAATGAATAAACAAATAAATAGATCATTCACAATAAATAAAGATTAGACAAATAAAATAAACAATAAGACAAAATATACCATGATCAATAGGATTTGTATTCTGTGGTCTAGATGAGCGAGGAAATGGGGCTAGAGGGAGGAGATCAAGCTGCACTGGAAGAGTTCTTGAATGGGTTTCTTTCCCTTGAAAATTTCTGGTCATTTCAAGGCCGGAAATCCACGATCTTTCAGTAATTTCCTTCGCATACGCCGTTGAGTCTCCGATCGATAGGGCCAAGTCCATTGTGACCCTAACTAAATCTGGGGGAAATTGGTAAATTTGGAAGGTGCCCTGGTTTTGGTGTATGGAGCATGGATGAAGAAGCTTGGTGGCCTTTATAAAGGGATGGAGAAAAGGATGGGGTTTTCTATTGATGTCCAAAAAATCCAAGTTTCTGTTTGTTTTCGTGGAAAATAAACAGATAATGTAAAATCGGACCAATTAAATTCGGATATAACTTTTGGGGTTTTTCTTTCCTGACCGACAGTCAGGTTCAGGATTTGATGGCAAAGGCAAAGCTTACGTCATTGTTATAATGACTAAAATACCACCATGTTTATTTGACAATAACCCAAGCCTTTTTGCCCTTAATGATTACCTATCAGACCTCTTTTCCAAGGATGTTACGTGTATTATTTATTTTCTTGTACATTTTTTGTTGTAATTATAAATATTTTTAATAAATATATAAATTCTTCGAATCAGTCTGAAAGTACTTTTCAAATAGGAATCCATTACATAAGAAAGAGGAAAGAAAGAAAGAAAGAAAGAGGATAAATACTGTTAAGTTTTATGGACTTCAAATAATCGTTATTATTTTAATTGTTATGCTTTGTTGTTATTATTGTCCATTATTATGATTGGTCTTTTTCTTCTTTTTTTGTTGAAGAAATAAATCATATAATATCATTTTATCCCAACCACCTACAAAATCAAAGCAAGTCTTAAAAAATAAAAGTATTATTTAGGAAATGAAACTCATTTACTGCAATATAATATAAGGGGAAAAATTTATATAGAGCCGAGGCTCTAAACAATCAAATTAGAGCCTACATCAAAAATTTAATTATAAGAGGTTGTTTTGATGCTCAAATATCTTCAAATTGATCATCTCGGCATCAAAATGCATGGACATGAGAAAAACATAGATTTCAAGTTTTGAAAATAGTGGATCTTGTAATGCATTTTTTTACGGTCAATTTTCAAGTTTTTCAAGTTTTCATAGATCCGCTTAGTCTACACTATGTTTAAAATTTTATAATTAAAAATAACAATATATTTTAAGGCTATCACAAAGTTTTTTGGTATTGAAACACATTTCTTGACACTATTTAAAGGTGGGCTCTAGTTTCATTGTTTAGAGCTTCGGCTCGATACAAACCCCACCCTAATACAAATTATTTGCATGAGTTCTTTTGTTTCTCATATAATATATTGAGAAAAAAAGAGAGAATTTCTGGAAAGAGAGAGAATAGAATCAAGTTGAGAAATACAAAAAATTTGAGAGAGAGAGAGAGTTGACTGAGAACCTGTAAGGAACAAAAAAAAAATTGGCAGTTATTGATTTCATGCCTCTTATTTTGATGAGAGGTTTTAAGACACGAGATCGCCGCGGGTCCTATTAGGGTACACCAGTCCATGTGACTTGTAAGGGAGGCACAACATTTCATACTAACTATATAATATTAATAATAGCTAAAAGTTGTCCTACGCCCTGGCGAGTAGAACGGTCATTTACTCCCTCTGGTAGACCCAACCTACAATGAATTTTAAGACCTTAAATTTTGGGATGTAACCTCTTTAACCTATATATTAACTTTAATAAAGAAATTCCCAATTGCATCCTCTGTACATTAAAAATAATAACGCCTTGAGATTTGAATGGAGACCATCTAATTTTTAGATGGTAAGATCCAAGTGTTAAAAAAATTCAAATTTCAAACTTTTTTTTCTCTTAATTAATCATCTAACAATTCTTAAATGGTTACCAAAATTTCAGATAAAAATTCCCTCCAAGTTGGTCTTCTGACCGAAGGAATAGAAGCAAACTATGCTCCTGAAGGAACATCATATACAAATTTAAATTGAAAAAAAAATTAAAATTGAAGGTTCATGTTCAATTGATTTTAGTCTTACGTTGGAAAATCACACAGACTTAAAAAAATTGTTAAATATTGAGCCCAAGATGATTTAAGATTTTATAACAACCAAAAGGTTCTATAAATAAAATTTTAAGAAACCAACTGTGAGGCAGTCGGTGTCTTTTGAAAAAAGATCAAAGTCTATTTCCTTAAAACAAAACAAAAAAAGAAAAAAAAAAGAGATCAAAGTCCAATTGCAAACTATTTTCCCCAAACAACATTAAAAGAAAAAAAAAACAAACTATTTTCCCTAACCAATTAATGAACTTGCTCTCTTAACTTGACGGAAGAATATTAGACAATACTTTCAACTTTCCTGTTTCTTTTAGGTGTTTTGGTCATCATTTATCTTGATTTTTCATCTTTTTTGTCGTTCACCCTTTTTCATTTTATTTTCTATATAAAAAAGGATTGAAAAAAATTAAAACTCGAGTTAAAAAAAAAAAATCTCAAAAACTTAAGATTCAAAGATCCCAGCTGGTATGATGGTCCAGCCCAGAGTCCCTATCAAATGATTGGGGGCCTCTACCACTTCACGTGCCTACCTCGTGAACTTCCCAACACGTGGACCAATTATATGATGCCATGTGGTGAGCGGACCCAATCATAGGGGACTGGATGACAGGTGAAATCATTGTTCTACTAGGCACGTGGGGACCACGAGTGAGGGGCCAATTATTGGGTACTCATTAGGCCAAATATGGTCTCCAATTACATGGGTTCACGGGGAGAGGCGGCGCTCAATACTCTCATAAATTGCCCACTTGTTTTTTATCTTCTTGTCCAGGTATATAATGGGACCATTTACGACAAGGTGGTCACCAATAATCTTGACAGTTAGTGGTTGTATTTAAGGGTATGGTACCTATAGAACCGAGGTTCTAAACAATCAAAGTTAAACGCACCTTTATACGGTGTCGATAAATGTAGTTTCAATATTGGAAATCTTTGTGATGGCCTTAAAATATATTTTCATATTTAATTGTAAAATTTAAAGTTTCAAAAATAATGTAGATCAAGCAGATCTATGAAAACTTGAAAATCTTAAAAATTGATGTTCCAAAAATGTGTTACAAAATGCATTATTTTCAAAACTTGAAATCCATTTTGTTCTCATATCCATGCATTTTGATGTCGAGATGATCAATTTGATGATATTTGGGCATCAAAACAACTTCCACTAATGAAAAATTTAAGGTGGGCTCCTATTTGATTGTTTAGAGTCTCGGCTCTATATAAACTTTTTCCGACCTAGCTCAAAGTTTAAAGAACTTCCAACGTTGTGACATAACCAAACTATAGATTTCATATTAGATGGAGCATCATCACAATATTTCTCTATATAGACTCTGAAGATTGAGGAGCTGGTTTCTTGTAGAGAAGCGGTTTCTATATAAATTTTGGATGGCTTCCTCTTTTAGTTAGTTTCTCGTTGCTCTCGCTTTTCTATATGATGTCGTCAATAATGATTACCAAAAGTAAAGAAAAAGAAGAACGACTACGACGTCAGTCGGGAGGTGGCTTAAAAGGGTTTGCTCACCTGGTTTTGTCGAAGGTTAGAGAAGTAATTCTATGTCCCAAAATCTATGATGTAATTTTCATTGGTTGGGTGGATTTCAGTTTTCTATGCCTGTGGATGTACCTCTTCTGGAGTAAACCACGATAATCATTGTATTCTTATGGTATGTGTTTCGTGTTTTATTTCTCATACATTATTTGCCAAAAAAAGCAACCCATCGGGTTTAGAGCTTCTACACATAACAATATAGGTTTGTATTGATATTGATTAGTTTCTTAAGTTAGTTGGGTTACCTATTTAAGTCAAACTAGATTAGGACTCTTAGTTACATATTAAATTTGAGATAAATGTGATATTATGGGTTTCCTATTTTCTACGGGATTCATGATATATATATATATATATATCAAATAAAAGTTTAGATAGAACTGAAGCTCTAAACAATCAAATTAGAGCCTACAGCAAAAATTTCACTAGAAGAGATTGTTTTGATGCCCAAATATCTTCAAATTGATCATCTTGATATCAAGATGCATGGACATGAGAAAAAAATTGATTTCAAGTTTTATAAATAGTATATTTGTAGTGCATTTTTTTACCGTCAATTTTCATATTTTCATAGATATGTCGATCTACACTATATTTGAAGCTTTAAACTTCATAAATAAAAATTAAAATATATGTTAAGGCTATCACAAAGATTTCCAATGTTGAAACCACATTTCTTGATACTATTTGAAGGTAGGCTCTAATTTGATTGTTTAGAGCCTAGGTTCTATACAAACAACACCCTAAAATCTAGTCCAGCAACCCTTTTACTCACCAATTTCCCAGCTCTATTCCACAACTGAACAATTATCCAAGAAGTGAAACTTTAAAGCAATTGGAACTTTCTCTCACTACGAGGGACTACTACCCAAAGTCTCTATAGGAACCGTCTTTCTCGACACTAGGTAAGCTCTAATTTGATTGTTTAGAGAATAGGCCCGTTGGGATGAACTATACAAATTTTTGTATTCTTACGGTGTGTGTGTTTTAACATTCAAGATTTCTATTCGCAACATGTTAATGGACCCCAAATTGGTGTTTAAGGTCATTAATTCATTAATCACAATGCGCTCTCAACATCAAGTAGCCCGCATTAATTGATGTGCTATCTGATTACTAAAAACTTAGGTGGCAAAGTAGTCTCTTTTGTTTATTTGTTTGTTGAATTTTTTAATATCAGGATTTTGATGCAGCTGCAATTTCATGCAATGGCACATTAAAACCCTATTCAATATATCGATTGAGGACCTAGAACTCCGCATTGCGTTTATCTGGAAAACTCATGGGTCCAGAAAAGAAAAACAAAAACAGATTTGAAGCCCTAAAGATGATCCATATTTTTTTCCAAGCAGCCCAATCTGAAAAACTCTAAAAATGTTAGAATCACACTATGCTGAAGCACTAAAATGACCCCACCATGATTTAAATTCTAATTTATAGTTCAATACTTTAGAAGGAAAATTGTTGCATGGGGGGGTTGGACCGCATTTATACAATATGCGGTCCAAAGGTATAACGCATCAATATTGAAGATAGATGCAAATGGGTGGTTTATCTAAAAACAAATGTAACTAACAATCCAAATATTTTTTTAATATAATTATTAATTTTAAT